TGACAGATGTTAATAACAATAAAATTCGAGTAAAGTAAAGAGAACGTTCACGGAATAAAAGTGATAAGACTGGAAATATTCTTGTTAGTGTAATATATATAGCAAGAATTTGTGTCTGAACGGTGTTGACTGTAATTATATGTACACCATTGACTTTATGAACCCATTATTATCGTTCAATGAAATAAAGTAGTTCAGCGATTAACTTTATGACTTGAATGGGCTTGGTCATTAGAGTGATGAATAAACTGTTGTGCAGGTTCTTGTCGCAAAAACTGAGCCTCGAAAGACTCCAGGTTTAGTGGTATGCATAATCCCCAACCGCACGAATATGGTGGATGAAAGAAAGGAGGAGATCCAGGAGATTAAAGACTCAGGGAGACAAAAAGATGGAAGTTCGGGAAGGAGAGCTTGATATCAGACCTTTGTAATAGCTTCAGGTAGAACAAGGGGAAGACCCGCCGAAGTCGTCCAGATCAGGGTTATGACTTATAATTGCGAGCGAGTTTGCGATGAGACTTTCCACTGTTAATTCTCCACACCTCTCTCACATTTTCTGTCTCTCTTGTGTTGTGTTTGGTCACCTCTCCTCTTACACCTTCCCCTCCACCACTCACTCATCATTTGCTCTTATGCCTCTTCCCTCCTCCGCTCACTCTAGATGCCTACACCACTTTGTTTCTCCCTCCTTTATTCTGGTTATCCTCTTCTCTCTCGCTGTTACTCTTTCGTGCTCTTCTCTCCTACTTTATTCGATATTATAGCTATACCTGCGTCCTTTCCAGGGTAAAATCTGATGGAGAGAGATTGTAATTCTAAATTTGTTTTGTTGCTGTTTCATTTTTTTTAACGCTTTAACTGCACTATTTACTAACTCCTTTTTCTTACAACAGATATTAATATTTTTTACGAGTGTGTTGATGTTGTATAAATATGTTCAGGTGCTTCAGATCACTGACGGTTTAAACATTCATTTGACATACGAAACGACACTAATGGTTTAAACACGCATTTGACTGACATACGAGGCAGCAACAGCAACAATGTTTAAAGGGTAGCTCATTAAAATCCGTTCCCTGAGTCTTAGTTTCAACGCTAAACATCTTCTACTGTGTTTTGTTGGTAAGTTCTAATGTGCAGATATGTGGCGAACTGAACCTCTTTACTACCATTATTGTTATTATTAATATTACCCCTGTGGCCTAAGGGTCAGGGTTGAACTTAAGATAAAAGGAGCTCAGGGCAAGGGACCATTTTAGGGGCCATTTTGGTACTTTTATACTTTTCGTCCCTTGGATGCTTTCTAGGGATTCGATATCCATTCTGTAGTACGGTGACCAAAACTGAACCGCATAATCCAAGTGAAGTCTCACAAGCGCAAGATATAGTTTTAGGATGACCTCGCTAGTCTTGTAACTAAAACACTCCTTTGTATTAACCCAAGTACTTTGATAGCCTTGTTTCGAGCAAATACGTATTGTTGTCTTGGTTTAAGATTCCTGCTCATCATTACCCCTAAATCGTTCTCACAATCGGACTTCTTTATATCAACGTTGTTCATCTGATAATTGTTTTCTGTTTACATCTCCAAGGCTAAGTTGTTTACATTTGTCCACAATAAATTTCTTCTGCCATTTTTCAGACCATGCAAAAAATTTCTTTAGAACTTTTTGTAGTTTTACGGAGTCCTCGTCAGATTTAATTATACGCCCTAGTTCAGTGTCATCAGTAAATATACTTATGTTGCTGTTTACACCTACAGTATATCTATGCCGTTTATGTACTGAGCCTTGAGGTACTCCACTAGTGACGTCACCCCAATCGGATTTAGTGCCTTTAATGCTGACTCTCTGTTTCCTGTCCTGTAACCACGCCCTATTCCAGTTTAAAATATCTCCTTCAATTCCATGGGCCTTCACTTTATGTATTAATCTTTCATGGGGTACTCTGTCAAAGGCTTTGCTAAAGTCGAGGTAACCCACATCATAATCGTGTCCGTCATCCACTGATTCGAAAACAATTGAAAAGAATGAACGCCCAACTTGTGAAGCCATGTTGGGAATCATTGATCAACTTGTGTTTCTCAAGGTGATTTCAAGTTAAGTTTGAAAATATTGCTTCCAGTAATTTGCCTACAATTGATGTTAAACTAATTGGACAGTAGTTATAGGAATCATTGTCAGTTGCAGAGGACATACGCTGTTCGCTCCCCATTACACGCCTCGGATTGGCAGGTTTATTAATAAGAGTCAGGCCCAATCATATCATTAGATTTATCAGTTAATTAAAATGATTAAGCATATAGGTCCCTCCACCTGTTCACGTGGCCTCCTCTTAACTCTTTTGTCTCACCTTTTCAATTTTTTGACTGTCTTTGCAGCTTTTGGTTTTCATATGACCTATCCCTAATAGTCTTGGCTGAAAAACTGATGCTCGCTGATGGTTAACCGGGGTGGATCCCGACACAGGATATACCAAGCAAAGTTTATAGTGCGCGACTCACTTGACCCATCGATTAACCTCCACATTACCTAAGGCGACTGAAGAAACTGTCACAGTTGAGGGGCACTGATTAATTGCTTGTTGTCAAGTAGATTAAACACTTGTCACACTGATGAATTCACCTTCAATTTCTTTCATTTTGGTGTATTGAGTTTTTAGGATGAAAAGATAAGCTGTTAACATTTGCCAAAGATTAAAAAGGGAGGTGGAGAAGTTGTTAAAAACTCCGAAGTGGTAAAGGTTCCTTGATAGATCAGTTAGCATGTGTGTCTTGCTGAGGCATACAGATATTGTTAATTGGAGTGTGACAATGGGTGTTTAGCGGAAAATCCAAATATATTTGATTCTGGTATTTGTAGTGTCAGGATGGAGGTGAGTTATCGCATGGGATACTTACTGTGCATCCTCGTGGTAAGTGGCAACACACGGGAACCACGCAGGCTAGACCAGCATGTGGACACGTCCTGGTGACTATACCAACCACTGCCACGCTGTCTTGCTGATTAAAACCTGAAAGAAAACTCTGCTGTGGAGCCCCGCATCAGGAAGAGATGCCTACAGAGGTCCAGTAAGACCCCAACGGCGGAATAGGCGGAAGAGGTGACCGACACGGGAACCCAACGACTACACCGGCGGATAAAGGTAATGCAAGATGAACAAGCTACTAAGGTGAAACCCAGCAAACTGGGCAATCGGCACTCCATTGCAACTCTCTCTCTCCCCAATTGTTGCAGCTACCTGCACCACTGGATCAACTCGCGCGCAGCAATTATTCAACATATACTTTCCATCATCATCAGAACCCCTAAATCCCAAAAAGTCCTATGGCGACAGATGAGTGGTGACGGGGACAGGAAGAGATGACTGCCGGGAGTCTCAAGTCACAACTCTTCACATGGGCGGCATAAATATGATGGTAGTTTATGCAGTGGGATCTAGCCCCTTCCAGTTGCCACTCTGCTCACCCCACATGGGGAGGGGGCTAGAAAATTTGCCCTAAACATAGCTTGCCTAAAAAAAAACCTGATTGGTGGAAAAAATCGCGTGAAACAAAAAAAAAAAAAAATGCGGATCAACACAAGAGATGCGAATTTTTCAATTCTACTAAAACTAAAGCAATGCATGACCAAACTACCCATGCCGCGGCCCCCCTCCGCTCATCCGCTGGTAACTCACAAATTAAAGACGAAAGGATACACGCTTGGAGGAGCACCACGCAAGAAGGTGTTAATACTTTCGAGTTATCCCGACTGCATACCGAGGCAGACAAGCACCACCACCAGAAAGACGCTGCCTCCTCCCCTCCCGCACTAGTTGTAGCCCTCCACACGTGCAACATCTGTGGATGGCCTTGCCGGTCCCGTGTCGGCCTCTCGGGTCACCTCAGAGCTCACCAACGAAGGTGGCAACCTTAATAACCTATATTACTGTATTATAGCTGGATGATCGTCATACTCGATTCCGAGTGACAGCAAAAGTAGTAGTAGTAGTAGTATTGTGTGTGCGTGTGTAGAGAGAGAGAGAGAGAGAGAGAGAGAGAGAGAGAGAGAGAGAGAGAGAGAGAGAGAGAGAGAGAAATATAAAAACAAAACCCGACATTGATATGTAAGGAAAGAAAACGGGAGAGAAATGAATAACAAAGTAGATAAAAGATAAAGAGGAGACTTAGAAGAAGATTTACCTCACCGTCATCATCTTCATCTCTGTCATCATAGTCTTCCAGATATGCAAATGAACCCCAACAAGTACAAACTCCTACAGGCTTAAGTGTCAAACTCCCCTAACAAGCTCAGGACCTGTTGCGTGTATCACTAAAGAGGATTGGGTGGCTGGGCGTGGCTGTTTACCCTAGGGGAGGGGGGGGGTGAGGATAACCCGGGAGCATGGATAACTGAGGAGTGGGGGGGGCTGAGGGGTGAACTAGGATGGGTGGGGAGCTAAGTGAGAGGGAAATGGGAAGGTAAGGAAGCGGTAGGGGATACGAGAGAGGCTTCAGGAGAAATTTGAGGAAGATGAGAGAGGTTGAGAGGCAAAGGGAGGGAGACGAGGATGGCTTAGGGGAGACGAGGAGATTGGAGAAAGGAAGGTGACGAGGGATAGGAAGAACGGAATGGAAGAAATGACGGTCTCATATTGTATAACTGATGAAGACGGTGGAAAATTTATTTCAGTAGATATTTATTATAAACAATTCATGGTAGGTAAGGCGTAAAGCTGTAAGATATTCGAAAAAAGAAAGATAGGAAGGTTTATGGTATGATGATATTGCGGTGTGTGATTATGTTGGGTGTTGGTTCTGGGTGGGTGATGGGTGGAGTCGTTCTGGGTGGGGTGCTGGGTGGGGTGCTGCGTGGGGTGCTGCGTGTGGGGCGCGGCTTGGTGGTGCTGGGTGGAGAGGGGCTGGGGTCGGAACACACGCGAGGTGGGGGGTAACGGGGGTTAGAAATAAGGTCCGGAGGTTTTGGGAGGTGAGGGGTGAGGGCTCAGTACAGCAGGGAGTGTTAGAGGGGTGTTGGTGACGTTACTCGTCGCGGCTTTCATCTATTTGTCTGTGAAGTGTAAATATTCCAGTATATGAGTGAGTGGCTAAAACACCTAATGTTAGATACTACTTTTGGAAATTAATATTTTGGCCGTTACCACAATAACACCCACTAGAATATATGTATATATATATATATATATATATATATATATATATATATATATATATATATATATATATATATATATATATATTTATATATATGGAACACCTTAGCTTTCGTCATTATTCAGTTGCCTCTGAAGATGTCTTGAATAAAGACGAAAGCTAAGGTGCGCCATTATATCCGTTTTCCTGTGTGGTTTTATCGATATAATCATAATAAATTCAAAGAGCCCTGTCTGCTATTTATTGCCGATGTTAATTTATACTGTATTTATTTAAAGAAGCGAGTGTAGTTTGAAAATGGTATCATTTCATAACATCACTGGAAATACTAATATATCGTGCATCAGGCAGTCATAACACAACTTTGTAAATCTTAAAAGTCAAATTACTTGTTTTGTTAGATGTATTGTTGACATGTCAAGAAGTCCCGCTCATATTTCTTTCAGGTGATCACTTGGCGGGAAGTTTGTGCACCAACTTCATCTAAGATGGACAACTCCACCCTCTGTGAGGTAATATGAAAAATGGGGCACCTTTGTCTTTCACCAAAAACTAGATTTTTTGTATTTCTTTAGTAAAACTGAGGTAAGTTTGGAAGTCCTTTTTATTACTGTACTGTAGTCATGTTCTAACCGCTATAAAAGACTTCTTTTTTGTGTAATCTGCCTTATAAGGGACGAGGGATGTGGTCATTACCTCACGGAGCCAGATATAATTATTACTGGTTTATTCCAAGAAGTTTGTCCAGTATACAGCGTGACAAGTGACACCCTTGATTATAATACCTAATTACCTTCATCATAAATTTCTTCTTACTCTTTTCTTTTTTCGTGTTATTATTCTCATTATTATTATTACTATACGCAAATATCTCTGTAAATGTTTGTCTGTGAGACTGCCTGTGACTGTGTATACGCCATTCTTCATGGTAGCGTCTTTAATATATGCAAACCTGTAGTGGTGTCTCGGTAATGACGTTCCTGCCGCCACCAGACCTGATTCCCCTCACAATGACTCTCATAATAAGGTAAAAGGTGGCCTTGGCTTTTTTTTCTATATGCTGGTGGAGTGTGGCCGTGATATTGAAGAGTTACTCACCTCCGTCTGATTATTTCCCCGTGCATTTGCCTGTTCCTCATTAATATCTGTCTAATCGTCTTCTGTCCGTCTGTCAGTTAATCCGTCTGTCCATTTGCTCAATAATGAAAACTATTAAAGGAGACTATGTGTAGTGAATTATCTTTACCAGCATAAGTTCCTTTGAAATCTGAGTCCATGGTTTTAATACAATAAGTTGGTTCAATAAAATATATCTAAAAATATCTTAATTCTTCCCAGCCAAGTGTCTCAAGATATCTCCTGGGTCTCTCACACTTCGTTGTGTCTTTGAATCATTTCTTTTGTTATTTATAAACTTTTGATCTGGGTTGAAATCCTCTCATATCTAGTTCTACTTTGTTATATATCTCCCACTTGTCTCTGCCCCATTATCTCTCTCACCTGTCTTATATCTCTCACCAGTCCATCAATATCTCTCTCATCTATGTCTCAAAACCTTTTCGTCTGCTTCTGACGATGTTTCTTACCTGTCTCTCACTATCTCTCACCATCTCTCACGTACCTCTCATTATCTCTCACTATCTCTCGCAGGGTGTATGTACGGAGGTCCCTAGACCATGGGAGGAGGAAGAAGTGTGGGGATCCTTCAGACGATGGCACGTCCTGCTCCTTACAAGCCTTGCTGGTCTGTCTGTCAGTGAGTAGTCCCTAGTAGTCACAAGTAGTCCCTAGTAATCCCTAGTAGTCACCAGTAGTCCCTAGTAGTCACAAGTAGTCCCTAGTAGTCACAAGTAGTCCTCAGTAGTCACCAGTAGTCCCTAGTAGTCACCAGTAGTCCCTAGTAGTCCCTAGTAGTCACCAGTAGTCCCTAGTAGTCACAAGTAGTCCCTAGTAGTCACAAGTAGTCCTCAGTAGTCACCAGTAGTCCCTAGTAGTCACCAGTAGTCCCTAGTAGTCACAAGTAGTCCCTATTAGTCACCAGTAGTCTCTAGTAGTCACCAGTAGTCCTTAGAAGCCCGTAGAAGTATCCAGTAGTCACCAGTAGACTTCATTAGTCGTCAGTAGTCCCAAGTAGTCGTCAGTATTCCTCAGTAGTCACCAATAGTAACAAGAAGTATTCATTAGTCCACAGTAGTCCCCAGTAGTCTTCAGTAGAAATCAATAGGTCTCAGTAGTTTTAAGTAGTCTTTAACAGTCCCTAATAGTCCCCATTAATTCCCGAGAGTCTCATTAATCTTCCAAAGTCCCCATTAGTCACAAAGAGTTTCCTAAAGTCCTCAGTAGTCCCCGAAATTCCTTATAATTGTAGAGGCTTCAGTAGTAAAAAGTAGTCCTCAGTAAACCTCAGCCTTCTCAAGTAGCTCTAAATAGTCTCCAAGAAATCTGAATAGTGTCTAGTAGTCCTAATAGATAGCCAGTAGTCTCGAGTAGTACAAGTAGTTTTGAAGTGGTCATTAATATTTCCCAGAAGTTGGTAGTAGTTGTCAGCAGCCCCCAGCAACCCCTAGTAGCCCCCAGCAACCCCTAGCAGACCCCAGTAACCCCTAGCAGCCCCCAGTAGTCTCCAAGTAGTTTTAAGTAATGTTTGTTTTCTAGAAAATCATTTAAAATAATTGGGATCAAAATAATTACGTAAGCATGCCAGGTGTAGTGGTGGTGGTGCCAGGTGTAGTGGTGGTGGTGCCAGGTGTAGTGGTGGTGGTGCCAGGTGTAGTGGTGGTGGTGCCAGGTGTAGTGGTGGTGGTGCCAGGTGTAGTGGTGGTGGTGCCAGGTGTAGTAGTGGTGGTGCCAGTGGTGGTGCCAGGTGTAGTGGTGGTGGTGCCAGGTGTAGTGGTGGTGGTGCCAGGTGTAGTAGTGATGGTGCCAGGTGTACTAGTGATGGTGACAGGTGTAAAGGAGTGTGGTGGTGGTGACAGGTGTAAAGTAGTGTGGTGGTGGTGACAGGTGTAAAGTAGTGTGGTGGTGGTGACAGGTGTAAAGTAGTGTGGTGGTGGTGACAGGTGTAAAGGAGTGTGGTGGTGGTGACAGGTGTAGTGGAGTGTGGTGGTGGTGACAGGTGTAAAGTAGTGTGGTGGTGGTGACAGGTGTAAAGGAGTGTGCTAGTGGTGACAGGTGTAGTGGAGTGTGGTGGTGGTGACAGGTGTGGTGAGTTATGGGATCCAGTTTAGACAATACACTCAACCATTATCCCTAGATTACAAACAGTTAGGTGGTGATGCTACATCATCCTCTTCCCTCAATAACCCTCACCTCTACTACAGTATTCCTCACCATCACTCACTATTTCTCACCATGGCTCACCCCCCCCCCAACCCTCTCTTGTATCCGTCAATGCCCCTCACCATCTCCTTTCGTCCATTTTTGCTTCATATCATTCGTCAGTATCGTTCCTTTACCATCTTCAGCATTCCTTCACCGTCCTCCACTTTGTTTCAACATTTTTCACTTTCCTTCATTTTCCTTTACCATCCACCACTTTTTTTTCACAATCATAAACACAAATATCACAAAGGTTGTAAACATAATATTTTTATGTTACGAAAATATGATACGTTTATTGGGTGTCCAGTGATGGATGTGAGTGGTTGTGTGGGTGGTTGTGTGGGTGGTTGTGTGGGTGTGTTTGGTTGTAGGGGTGTGTTTGGTTGTGTGAGTGGTTGTGGGGGTGTGTTTGGTTGTGTGAGTGGTTGTGTGGGTGTGTTTGGTTGTGTGAGTGGTTGTGGGGGTGTGTTTGGTTGTGTGAGTGGTTGTGTGGGTGTGTTTGGTTGTGTGAGTGGTTGTGTGGGTGTGTTTGGTTGTGTAGTGGTTGTGTGGGTGTGTTTGGTTGTGTGAGTGGTTGTGGGGTGTGTTTGGTTGTGAGAGTGGTTGTGTGGGTGTGTTTGGTTGTGTGAGTGGTTGTAGGGGTGTGTTTGGTTGTGTGGTGGTGTGTGGGTGTGTTTGTGTGAGTGGTGTGTGGGTGTGTTTTTGAGTGGTTGTGTGGGTGTGTTTGGTTGTGTGAGTGGTTGTGTGGGTGTGTTTGGTTGTGTGAGTGGTTGTGTGGGTGTGTTTGGTTGTGTGAGTGGTTGTGGGGTGTGTTTGGTTGTGAGTGGTTGTGTGGGTGTGTTTGGTTGTGTGAGTGGTTGTGGGGGTGTGTTTGGTTGTGTGGTGGTTGTGTGGGTGTGTTTGGTTGTGTGAGTGGTTGTGTGGGTGTGTTTGGTTGTGTGAGTGGTTGTGTGGGTGTGTTTGGTTGTGTGATTGGTTGTGTGGGTGTGTTTGGTTGTGTGAGTGGTTGTGGGGGTGTGTTTGGTTGTGTGAGTGGTTGTGGGGGGTGTGTTTGGTTGTGTGAGTGGTTGTGGGGGTGTGTTTGTTGTGAGAGTGGTTGTGTGGGTGTGTTTGGTTGTGTGAGTGGTTGTGGGGGTGTGTTTGGTTGTGTGAGTGGTTGTGGGGGTGTGTTTGGTTGTGAGAGTGGTTGTGTGGGTGTGTTTGGTTGTGTGAGTGGTTGTGGGGGTGTGTTTGGTTGTGTGAGTGGTTGTGTGGGTGTGTTTGGTTGTGTGTGAGTGGTTGTAGGGGTGTGTTTGGTTGTGTGAGTGGTTGTGTGGGTGTGTTTGGTTGTGTGGTGGTTGTGTGGGTGTGTTTGTTGTGTGAGTGGTTGTGGGGTGTGTTTGGTGTTGGTTGTGGGGTGTGTTTGGTTGTGAGAGTGGTTGTGTGGGTGTGTTTGGTTGTGTGAGTGGTTGTGGGGGTGTGTTTGGTTGTGTGGTTGTGTGGGTGTGTTTGGTTGTGTGAGTGGTTGTGTGGGTGTGTTTGGTTGTGTGAGTGGTTGTGTGGGTGTGTTTGGTTGTGTGATTGGTTGTGTGGGTGTGTTTGGTTGTGTGAGTGGTTGTGGGGTGTGTTTGGTTGTGTGAGTGGTTGTGGGGGGTGTGTTTGGTTGTGTGAGTGGTTGTGGGGGTGTGTTTGGTTGTGAGAGTGGTTGTGTGGGTGTGTTTGGTTGTGTGAGTGGTTGTGTGGGTGTGTTTGGTTGTGGTGGTTGTGTGGGTGTGTTTGTTGTGTGAGTGGTTGTGGGGGTGTGTTTGGTTGTGTGAGTGGTTGTGGGGGTGTGTTTGGTTGTGTGAGTGGTTGTGTGGGTGTGTTTGGTTGTGTGAGTGGTTGTGTGGGTGTGTTTGGTTGTGAGAGTGGTTGTGGGGGTGTGTTTGGTTGTGTGAGTGGTTGTGTGGGTGTGTTTGGTTGTGTGAGTGGTTGTGTGGGTGTGTTTGGTTGTGTGAGTGGTTGTATAGGTTTGTTTGTTAATTATTGTGGTTTTCTAGTTTTCTTTGGTGGTATTGGTGGTTGTCTGCGTTTGTTTATTTGTGTTAATGATTTTTTCGTTGTTGTCATCCTCACCGTTAGTTAATTTTGTTAATCTCATGAATTCAATCCCGAGTCAGTCTCTGTGTCAGCCGGCGGAGGAGGGATACTGGTAGTAGGAGGAGGCTGAGCCAGGCTTAATAATGTCAACCAGGGTCTCAACCAGACAGCCCATACCTTGAGAAAATATATTGTTAATACAAGCAGGTATCAACGCTAAGTCGAACAGTTACCATCGCCAGTACGAGCAGCGCTAGCACTAGGCCCATCGCAGGAAGAGCGTCTGAGGTGACTATGTCAGTCGAACGATCACCCTCATATCCCGTACTGAAGCGAAGTCAAAATAATGAAAAAAAAAGTCAAACCGAGTTAATATATTCAGAGTATTCCAGACCCGCAGGTAAACACCTCTTAGTGCTCCATTTCTTAGCGCTAACCAATAAAGAGAGGAATGAATTATTTATTTTTAGACGTGACCAACAAACGACTTGGTAAAGCTATCAAGTCGCTTATTAAGAACGGAAAGATGTTGTATAAGTGACACCCAGATTTGAATAATTTTAAAGTAGAATCATAAGATGTGTATCAGTTCCAGTCAAATACGGGGAAGATGGGGGCGATGATTATTTTGTGATGAAAATAATGAAAAACAAACGAACATTATATGACAATAAAGTAAGAATTAACAGTTAGAGAGGAAATAGTCGAGCTGTGAGTAATAATGAACGTGAAAGACGTCAATGAAACTATTCATGAAGTCCCGCCAGACGCGAATGTGAAGGAAATGAGATTTTTAATATAATCAGCTGAGGCAGAGAGTGAGGGCACACGTGATACTCGGACGGGTAATGAGATCCTGAGGGAACTGGCCTAAATTAATCTCCTCCGTGTAGAGTGATCTCTGATTAATCCAGAATGGGATTTATCGCGGTACAGCCCCGTCTTGGTACGTCAGCTTTAATAGGAAAATAAATCCTATCATACCAGTTAATTGACCGCTGAACCCTTGGTGGACAACACCGAGTAGAACCACAACAAGGTAACGTGTGGTAAATTGATAAGGACGTGAGGCAGACGGAACACAATTATTGAAAGGGAAACAGGAGAAGGTTGACATCAGAGACGACAATAACATTAACAAAAGACAGTAAACAGTGACTCCAATAACAACAAAGGCGATAATGACAACAAAAACAACGATAATAACAATGACAACAATAACTGTTATATATTCGACGCAACTGACCTACTCCCCTCCGTACGCTAAAAATTAACACACCTACGTAAAATGAGATGGGCTAGAGTACCGAGTATAATTCACGATAACTTAACTAATCGAAATTGAATTACAAGTACTCACTGTAATAACCTCTCTCGTGATGGCATTTATCATTCACTGAAAGAAGGTAAATACTGGACTGTAGATAATTATAGCCTGCCTGTTAACCAAAATACTGACCATATTTCTTCGTATGTTTTTATGGCATAATAACTGAATTAAAATGAGAAATTGCTAGATGTTGTGTGATTATCATACGACATAACGTTATCCTATAATTTCCCCATATAATATATACTACTGGCCAGAAGTTATAATATAGGGTACTTAGCCTTGGTGGACAGCGAGCCTCTTCTCCTGCTTACTGGGTCTGGAGTAACGCCCATATGGTGGATCCAGGTCTCGGTGTATGTTGTAAATATTTCGTATTTATTATATTAATTGCCATAAAGTTTATGTATATCACTCAAAAAGTTTATAATGTTAAGTTTCTAAATAATCACTCCGTGCTGGCCTTGTAATTAGGTACACTCGAGGGTCTACGTCTCACGGCGGTTTGTGATTACACTCAACGTTGGGTACCACACTCCTCGGATTATGGGTTCACACTGCCATTTTCAGTTTCAACTTTCAGCCCCACGTCTCCGTGCCTCGTTGTTGGTATGAAGTACGTGGAGGAATACACACCACGTCATGTTCTTACATATTGTTGTGATTAGTACTAATAATACTAAGCCAAGTAATTCTTAATTACTTACAGTACCAAACCCAAAATATACACAATTATTTACATATATACATAAGTATCGCCACCTCTGTCGTAATTGGTTCAATGGATTCAGTTTGTTTCACTTTTATCGAACCTTATAGATCTGTTTTCTTTTAGTGACGAGAAGTTATACTTCTGTGGGATTTTATATTTCCCACCATAACAACGAAATGCAATATAAACAACATAAACAACACTGAAAACAGCAATCACCATCCCAAATTGTTTAGTATCATATAATGATTAACTTTACTGGAAAAATGAACAGGAAGAACTAAAGGAAAGAAATATAGGTATAATTGGGCACTGGTCAAGATTAAAAACACAAGCAGACACACAGTTGATTAACAAATATTTGTGACGTGATCCAAGATATAACGCACACGTATATAAGGGTTAAATTAGTGTTAAATTAAGAACGTATTTAAAGCCTGCAGGTATGTAACAGGCAAATTACCTTATTTACTTAACTTATTTACCTAGTGGTTACTCACTAGAGGCGATCATGCAGAGGGAAGGTCAGTGGCCTGTGCAGGATCCCTCCATTGTTCTTGATAGTTTTGTAAAGGTCTATTTAGAAGCCCAGTACTGTTCTCAACTCCACAGCTTGGGCTGGTAGACTGTTCCATACTACCCTCTGTGTGAAGACATATTTCCTTATGTTCGTTCTGCATGATAACTTTAAGATTAACCACCATTAAGTTAAACTAACCTAACCACGACAGGTAGCGTTGGGGTGTTAATCTTCAGGTGATCCCTATAGGTTAACTTAGTGGAAACACCTGCCATCCACCTTAAGCCTAAATTGAAGTTAATTTTATTACTTTAGTATATAGTTTCTGGCTCGTATAAGATCCTTTAATGAGATAAAAATAATGATAAAGACGATCTAGGTAAACATAATTACCTGATCTTCCTCCCACAAAGTTTGTTAATCCCTGGTTCACCTGGTTCACCTCTTACTCGCACCTGTCATTTATACTTGCTAGGAATATCTCTATCGTACAGAAACAAAGTACACCTCCCATGTACACCTCCCATGTACACCACCCACGTACACCTCCTACGTACACTTCCTAAGCACATGTCCCATGCACACCGTAAAATAAAATTTACTGGTCAGAGAAATTTCACATTGTTTAACAGGATCAATAAATTTAGGTTGTCAGGCTGTGGTCACGAGCCTAAATCTAAAATTTATCTAGTTCAAAACCATTTGTACGAGTTCGCTCCTGGTTGAATAATATTAAGTACCTTTGCTATATCACCTTTGTTTAAACCTGACTTCCATTTATACACCTCATTCATATCGCCCCTCACTCTACGTCCTTCGAGGGAGTGCAGACTCAGATGCTTTAATATGTCTCTGCCCTCAGCCATGTTCTTCTGCTGCGTGTTCAAGTGTCGTGTTCCCAGGACCAAGCAGGAGATAGAGGCTAACTACATACGACGTCAGCTGGCCCGCAAGTTCCGTCGCCAATTGAACATCATCAACAACTCTGAGATGGACGAAATGGATCTTCTCAAAGGTGAGTTCAGGGGTCATGGGTAAGGTTAGAGGCTTAAAGAAAGGTCAGGGGTCACGGGTAAGCTCAGGGTCATAGGTAAGGTCAGGAGCTATGGGTGAGGTCAGGGGCCATGGATAATGTCAGGGGTCATGGGTAATGTAAAGGGTTTAAAGAAGGGTCATGGATAAGGTTAGGGTTATGGGTAAGATTAGGAGTTATGGATGAGGTCAGGGCCATGGATAAGGTCAGGGGTCAAGGATAAGCTCAGAGGCCATAGAAGGACTGGGATCATGGGTGAAGTCAAAGCTTACCAGTAAACAAAGTAATTAATCATTCCTCTCTTAGCCTGTGTTTACCACCCTTAATGACTTTCTGATTATACTCATTAATATTTCCAGTTTTCCTTAATGATATGTTTATTTTATAAGCCAATGTCCTTTCCCCCCCAAAAAAAAATGTAATTAGGGGTTAACAACACATATCTCGGGTCACTCCAAGATTAGGTACCCCAAGTTATTTCACCTAATTTAGCCTAACCTAATGCTTTACCTAACCTACCTATCCTAATCTAACTTAACCAAGCTCAACCTAACCTATAATAAAATAACTTAACCTAACCTAGTCTAACCCAATCAAAACCAATACAATCGCCAGGGTGTTTAATTATTATCAGGTGAAATAAGCAGTGGGGAACAATCTTCAGGTGATCTCAGAACTCTCCCGCACCGCCCTATTCATGAAGTCTCAATACAATTTCCCGTTCTTTTCATTTGCTGTTGAAAAAATGTGTTATCTTACGGGTAACTCAGGTTTAGAGGATTTTCTTGAAACAGTTCAGGACTGTTTCCTAAATCAACATATAGACGAACCCACCTGAGGTAATAATATCCTAGATTTAGTTCTGTCAAACAGAGAAAAATCTATTAGTAATGTCGAGGTAGGGAACGAACTAGCTAACAGCAGTCACAAAGAAGTAAGATTCAAAGTAGAATTTAATGTCAATCGCAAGGAATATTGCATTAAAGCTCCAGATTTTAGAAGGTCAATCTTTGATAGGTTGAAAAGACAGCTGAGAGAAGGATTGTTATGTTTCGGGGTGAATTACATGACCTCACGAGAGGGTGTAAATAACGTGACCTCACATAATGTACCCCCACCCTTCCAGCTGACCTGACCACGATAACCTCACAAAACATGACAGCAGAGGGTGACCTAACCACGAGAAATGAGGTTGACGAGTACCATAACAATTTAAATAACGAGTTACTTAATGCACAAGGGCAGCATATACCATACAGAAAACTCAGATCAAACAACAATGACCCCAAATTGACAAATAATTATTTAAAGAATATTACTGAGCAAAGAAAGGCTCTTGGTAGGAGAATCAATCGTTGTGATGTTTACCTCCGAGATTATTATAAATTATTGGCCAGTAGGGTTGAGACCGAGATAAGAAAAACAAAGAGGATTAATGAACTAAAGGTAGCAAGGGAGGCGAAGTCAAACCCCAAGGGATTCTGCCAAATGTATAATTTTTTTTAAACAAGCTTCCAGCCTCCCCCAATAGCCACACCTTCGTCGCCATTTATCACCCTAAGATTAAATATCCTAATACATAAGTAGCTACCCTGGCTGTGTTGAGTTAGATGAGCCGCAGATCTATGCGGCATTCAGTGACTGTTGCCTCATAGTCAATATCTGAGACCGTAGTCGGCTTTGGGGCCGAAGATCTCGTTTCCCGAAGGCAGAGCAATGCAGACCTAAGCAGAGAGAAGGGCAGTCGACATCTCAACCAGGCTGTAACGTGGCTTCTGGGCTGCTGCTTCCGTTCAGATAACACCTCCTCGAGTCTGGCATAGAAACATCTTGCATTTAGTCCCATCCCACCAGAAGTTGTGAACACCAGAGGAATGAAGCTGCCCTGATCAACATTCAGAACTCTCTCCCCAAATTCCCTGATTTTGTAATTCTCGTTCCCCCTGTGTACAGTATCGAGAACAAGGTTACGGTGACATTTCGGTCATGGGATCGATAATCCTTATGTCAAAGAAGGTTTGCTGTCCCCGTGTCCAGAATCCTCGAGTACTGACGTCCACACGGGCTTCGTTGGATGTGTTTGAAATCCTGTGACGGAGGTTCTCACCGTGCAATGGAAGGAAGGGCGATTCCACCGTGACGTCGTGGCAGATTTCTTTCATTAAATTTGCTGTGAGATCCCTTACTTCGTCATGCCTCATGCATACACTTCTGGTAGCTTCAAATATATTTTAGATGGATATATGAGCGATTGGGGTTGAGTGTAAACGGAACTGCTTAGTATGGACCAATAGGCCCGCAGCAGTTTCCTCTATTTTTATGTTCTTATGTTCCTATTTTTACCATGTGTGACCTGTTGAATTACCAAGGTGTTTTGTGTAAGATTACTGGTAACTTATGAAGGAAGAAGTTTATTATTATTATTATTATTATTATTATTATTATTATTATTATGGATATTGTTACTGGTATTACCATTACTATTCTTATTATCACTCAATTGTTCTCACATATGCCAGCCCTGGAGCGGCTGAGGGCAGAGCTTCGAGCAGACTCTGGAAGCCTGGCGCAGTCTGAAGCTTTCTCTACTCTCTCCTTCACCCCCACCGGCACCCCCACCTACAGGAAGGGTTCAGAACTTCACATTGGTGAGTAGAAATTATTTTTATTGATGTTGCACCAGAATATAGACTTAAAACTGTCTCACCACTGAGGACCTGTGAACTGTCTCACCACTGGGGACCTGTGAACTGTCTCACCACTGAGGACCTGTGAACTGTCTCACCACTGGGGACCTGTGAACTGTCTCACCACTGGGGACCCTGCACACACTCTCACCACTGGGCATTCAGTGAACTGCACTTTCTTAACAGCCTAACGCTAACCTAACGGAACCCAACATTAACTAAGCTAACCTAATTTTACCCCCAGGTAGCGTTAAGGTGTTTAATCATCATGTAGCTTAAGTTGGACGCTAATCTGCAGGTGATCTTAATAATCAAGGCTTTAGTTTCATAAAGAGTTAGAAGCCTCGATTAAGGATAATTCGAGGTTTTAGTTAACTGAAGAAATTGAGGATTCAGATCCATAAAAAGTGTTCGTAAATGCTAATTAAGCTTTGTGTATTATGTATATTACAGTCATACACACATTAGACACGAACATTACATACATATATATATATATATATATATATATATATATATATATATATATATATATATATATATATATATATATATATATATATATATATATATATATATATATATATATATATATATATACAAACATACATACAGTACATACAGTACATACATATATACAAACATACATACAGTACATACATATATACAAACATACATACATACAGTACATACATACAGAGAGACAATTTCCAAAAGCGAGGACACAGGATATACTTGGTGTTGTTGTTGACATATCTGACTGACCGAACATCAAAGACCGACACCCATTACGATGTTATACCATTGTCCCATTAGACGCTGATTGGCCAGTCGCCATTGTCCAGTCTGACGCTGCTGAGTAGACACTACCTTCCATCGTCCCTCAAGTGATAATTAAGATACGGTAGTCAAACGTCTATACAGACACACAACTTTACATACTGAAGAAAATAATACATGTTTATAAGGAATATTAATGTTGTGTCACCTTTTGGATTCACCTGGAGATAAACCACCCTAGCTCTATTTTGAGGTTAGGTTAGTCTTAGATTAGGTTAGGTTATGTTAAGTTATGTTAAGGGTAAATACTTTTACTGATACACAATAGAACATAATTACCTTGGTGGTCACAGTATCGTGTATTCTATGATATAATTTTTTAAGATGTCTGGTTTTTAAAGAACATCTTGTGATGCTGGCATGTGAGCTGGGGTTAAGGCGCCTGTAAACAATTGCTGTTTCCCTAAGGACATCTTAATCTGTCTCGCCCCTCTCTTTCCCTCCCGCCGTCCCTACTGGCGGATGCTGGTCTAAGAATCTATGCCTGGCTGTATAGATCAGGGGTGGTAAGGGACTTCTTGAGGCTTAATAACTTTTTGAGAATCATTTATTGTTGTTGTTCATTGTCAGGTGGGAGTCTTTGAAAGATTCTTGCTCTCCCTCCTTCCCTCCATTTTCCCTTCCTCGCCTCCCTCCGTCTTCCCTTCCATCCCTCTCTCCCTCTTCCACCGTCCACCTTTCCCTCACTACCTCTCTCTCTTCTCCTACCCTCCGTCCCTCCCTCTTCACACCACACTGCGTCACCACACGGGGTCTGAGCCACACCAACCTGGCAGAGGCTCAGCAATATAATGCCGCCCCCCATTGTGTGTGTGTGTGTGTGCCGGGGATACCTCCAGCCTTGTGTATATCACGGCGCCCCTCCCACACAGACACTGACAGCCAAACTGACATACTCACGAAGACAGAGTTAACAGAGAAAAACATCATTATTTCACTGCACTCCTGTATCACACTGTATCTTTACGTATCTTTGTATTACTGTATCTATATATTACTGTGCTACTTTGTATCTCTCTGTTCATGTATCATTTTATCCTCGTATCAAACTGTATTTTTGTATGCTACTGTATTCCTGTAAATTTTATTATCATAAAACACTAAATAATTATTGCAATACTGTACCCAACTTCATTATTGTATCACTCTACCCCTGTATTACTGTATTTCATTGCATAATTGCATCTCACTGTATTCCTGTATCATACTATATAACTATATCATACTCAATTCCAATATAGCCGTATCCTACTGTATGTCTATCACAATTCCTATATTGCTGTATTCCACTGAATCATTATTGTATTACACATTTTTCTATCACGTTCAATACTGTGTCACTACCATCTTGTATCCCGACAGGAGTATTCACTGTATCACGGCTACAATAAATCACTGTATCCCGACAGGAGTATTCACTGTATCACGGCTACAATAAATCACTGTATCCCAACAGGAGTATTCACTGTATCACGGCTACAATAAATCACTGTATCCCGACAGGAGTATTCACTGTATCACGGCTACAATAAATCACTGTATCCCGACAGGAGTATTCACTGTATAACGGCTACAATAAATCACTGTATCCCGACAGGAGTATTCACTGTATTACGGCTACAATAAATCACTGTATCCCGACAGGAGTATCACTGGAGGAGCTGCGCCTTGCTACAGCGGAGGGCCCCATCACCAACCTGAAGGGGCGAGTCTCCAACATTATAACGGGTGCCTTACACAAGCTAAAGCGCTGAAGAGGAGGAAGAGGAAGGCGGAGGAGGAAGAAGAAGACGGAGTTAGAAGAGGAAGTCGAAGGGGGATGAAGAGGAAAGGGGAGAAAGAGAAGGAGGTGGAAATAAAAGAGAATAGAATGACGGCATAAGTGAGAGATAATGATGTGGTGAATGAAACAAATATACCTTAACACACTCCTTACCCTTAACACACTCCTTACCCTGGGGGGCATATTGGATTTGTCCAATATGGAAGTGTGTGTGTGTGTGTGTGTGTGTAATAATACCAGATGCAGCGAGGACGTCTCAGAAGACAAAAGTCTAGACACTCTAGAGGCTCACAAGTGCTTTATATGAAATTATTTTCCGTTCTTCTTCTTCTTCTTCTAATTATTATTATTATTATTATTATTATTATTATTATTATTATTATTATTAAAGAACTAACAGGATCACAGAGTATGGCAGGAAACTCACCAGAGGGCCGCTTAACATTAAGAATTATATTATGACTGTATGACTGCCACTGCCTCACGGTATGAATGTATGACTGTATCATTGTCTCACTGTATGACTGACAGTATGACTGCCTCACTGTATGACTGCTTTATTGTATCACCGACTTCCTTTATCACTATATCTATCACCATATAGTAAAATGGACGTGAAGGGGTGATACCAGAGGCTTGTGAAGTCACGGTTGACACCCTTTGTAAACAGAGTGAGTGAGATTTTACACTCGGGCCTCGCCCACACTGTGACGTCATCAACATTATGCTCTTCTTATCCTCACTCTACCTGTTTCTCTGATTTTTCACACATCATTTATTTATTCTCCGTTCCTTTGCTTCAACTTGAGACGAGATGAGACGCCTTAGTGCTAGTGTGTCTAGGAGAATTTACTTGTTTAAAGTCTGTTTCACAAAACTTGGGTGAAGTGCTCAGAGTAAGACCCCGGGAGGAGAGGGGGTGGGGGTCATTTGAGCTGTGCTGACCTTTCACGGTGTTTCGGTAGTGACCACAGCACTGAAAATGTCACGGTCAGGTTGAGACATAAAACAATATATATTTTTGTGACTTTTTCTAGTTTTTTAATATCCTTATGTACTGTATGTCCCTCTTCCTCCGTCATATTTTAGTCGTATGTCTTCTTAACTGTTTAGATGCACTGTATGGTTCCTTCTTTCTCTCTCTGTTTTCTTTTTCCTTGTTTATCGGTTTTATTTTTTGGTTTAAGTTTATCTCATCTTTTCCCATCCACTTGTTATGTCCTTCTCTTTTCCTTCCTCTCTACTTGTTTCTGTCTGTCTCCCTCCTTCGCTCTTCTCACCCACCACCATTATCATAACGCCCCTCAATCGCCCAGATACTCACAAAGTCTCCACAAAGGGTGCCAACAACATCAGTCACACCGATGCTTATAAATTACGCCTTCGACTCTCTACTTACATATGCTGACTGACGTATAAGAGTATCGGATTTCAGTAAATATATGTATTTCTAACTATTTTTAGCACTGGGTGAGCTGAACATAATATTTAGATCGACGGCTGAACTTATTGGTAACTGCACACATGTCAATAAAACGTTTTGGGCGAGAAAAAACTCACCCCGTCTTTTATAGATCACACTATGGCTACTATTAATTTGTTCCTTCTATATATTTACTTGTACTGTATATCGACTCTCTTGATGTAAATTAGATCTAACTATACCTGTATTGATGATTATATGTATGCTTTAGTCATAAGTTAATAATTCCATGAAGATGTTAATATATCCCAATATATACCAAGATAATGTAAATAACCCCAGTGAGATGTTAATAATGGCAGTTTTTGATGTTGTAACAATGTCACGAGTTAGTGAGTATATCCCGCCAAGTATGAGCCAATCGCAGTGACCTGTGAGTGTGAATGCCTTAGGTCTGAACCAATAAGGAGAGCCTGTAAGACGTGACGTCATGAAGATGTGGTGCCTTGTAGGCCGTCTTTGTTTTCAAACACAGAGTCTGGTTAAAATTGGTTCAGTGTAGACGTACGACTGGTCGGCCGGTTTTATCTGTTTCACGAAATGTGTTGTGATTCATGTGACACCTGTTTAACTAGCTAGGAAATTAGGTTTATTGTTTTGAAGTATAATTGTCAATCTCAATAGAAGGTGTTCAATAAACAAAGAACCGCTAAGGGGTGTTATAAATTGCCCTCCCCCCCTCTTGGTGCTGAGTAAACATTGTCATACATGTCTTTGGTGTTATGCAGTGATATATTGAGTCCTGAGTAACAACACACCTATCACCTGTTTCCCTAGTGTCTCGGTTATCGCATGTTATCCCTATTCCCCAGTCATCCTCTCTCTCAGTGTCCCCTCATGTCGGTTACCCTCTGGTGGGGGGAGTGATCACAGGCAAGCCCCACCTCCGTCAACCACAGCCAGCCATCCCCCATCCGTCTGAGACAGAGGGAGGATGACAATCCCGGGCATTAGGAAACTTGAGTACAAAGACATATTAAAGCATCTTAATTTGCAGTCTCTCGAGAGACGTAGATTGAGAGGCGATATGATCGAGGTGTATAAATGGAAGTCAGGGCTAAACAAAGGTGACATAACATAAGAATGGAGAAAACTGCAGTGGGCCTATTGGCCCATACTGGGCAGTCCCATTTACACCCAACCCCTATTGCTCACATATCCATCCAACTTATGTTTGAAGCTATCCAGCGTATTCGAGTTAATGATGATGTTTGGTAACTTGCTCTACTCATCCACTACTCTATTTCCAAACTAATGTTTACCTTTTTCGTGCCTAAATCTAAATTTGTCTAATTTAAAACCATTGTTACGAGTTCGCTCCTGGTTGGATAGTTTGAGTACATTTGTAATGTCCCCTTTGTCTGGCCCTGACTTCCATTTATACACCTCAATCGTATCGCCCCTCACTCTACGCCTCTCGAGGGAGTGCAAATTCAAGGTTCCTAATGCCCGGGATTAGTCTTGTCATTTTCCTATGAATTCTTTCTAGGGATTCTATATCCATTCTGTAATACGGTGACCAGAACTGAACTGCGTAATCCAAGTGAGGTCTCACAAGCGCAAGATATAGTTTTAGGATGACCTCGCTAGTCTTGTAACTAACACTCCTTTGTATGAACCCAAGTAAGTTAGGTTGTATTACGTAAGATTAGTTTAGGATAGGTTAGGTTTGATAAGGTTAGGTTAAACTAAGTGAGGTTAGGTTATGTAAGATTAGGTCTCGTCTCTCTCTGTTTCCTCCCAGGCGTCTCCCTCTATCTAAGTGATACCACCCTCAGTGTCAAGACCTGACGGCATTACTCAGAATAGGCAAACTGTACTCCAAGCTTTGTCAATAAATTTGTTAAACTAAAAAAGAAACTCCATTGTCTCTTCCCGTTCCTCTCTCTCTTTCTCCGTCTCTCTTTGCCTCTCTCTCCCCCACTGTCTCTGTTCGTTCTTCTCTCTCTCTCTCTCTCTCTCTCCCATCGTTTCTCCTCTACCCCTTCTTCTCTCTCTCTCTCTCTCCTCATTAATCAATCCCCTTATTGACCATATCGGCGGCTCTACACAAACACACACACACACACATTGACTCTTCCATCTATAAATATGAGTCAAGAAACAGAACAAATTATTTTGAAGGAAACATTTCATCAAGTTAAAAAAAGATTCAACAAAAACTAATCCCTTACATGCTAAAAAATGTGGTCTTGTAATTTTGGCCAACCCGGGGACCTGAATGAATGGAAGTGGTAAGAATGGAGGCAGTTGGCTACCTGCGCACGCTGGTGTGGGTGGAGACTGGGTTATATATACAGGTGGAGCCACCCGCTCACAGGCCTTTACTCACTGCACTCGCGAGCGGTGGACTGCCTAGACGCGCCAGGTGTAACCCGGTCACGTTGTTGCCTCTGATACGCTTCCCCCGACCTCCGCCACTTTGCTTCTGCTACTCCTGCTGCTGCTACTGATGGCTCACACGGGCGGAGCTTCTATGACTTGAGATTAATATACTGTCATAAAAGTTACTCTGGGTATATGGATACAAAAAAGTAGTCGGTTGCTGTTTACTAGATCTTAACTGTAAGGAAGAGTGGTAGTGCCTCTTTTGTAAACTGCACTACAAACTATTACTCAAGTTTCGGTTAATGTTTTTATGTCTGCATTATGCAATAAACGTCCGCTAGTGATTACAAATAGAGGCACAACATTGCTGCAGGAGGCGTTGCGAGTTTGAAGGTATATCAGAGAGGAAGAACTGAAAAGTATCGTACGAGAGAGACAGACAACAACCTGCAGGGACAGCTCAGCCCTCTCCCCCTACCTCGCGCAAGGAAAACTCATCTGACGATGCTCCTGTCCGCCATCCTACCCTTCCTCCTAGTGGCGGTGGTACCTCCTCCTTCTTCCTTAGCCATCCTGCTCCCTCCTGAAGGCAACGACTACCCTCTGTACGACTTCCCCTCCGTACAGTATCTCCCACACAACTCCCTGGTCGAGTACCAGGACCCGCGTCTTGACGACGACCAGAGAATGGAAGTTGCCACGAGGTCCACCTACCTCCCTGTCCCTAATTCAGATTCCTCCTCCTCTTCATCATCATCCTCGTCTATATATCCACAGTCGTCATCCTCCTCCTCTTCTCCTTCTCTCACATGTACTGCAGAAGACATAGCAAGTATACTAAACATGGAGGACTTGGACAAAGTGATAAGGATTGTGTCGAAGCTGGAGGGGAAGAGCGTTAAGGAGATCCTACTCAAGCTGGCTATCAAGCACGGCCTACACCTCAAGGTAAGTCACTTCCTCTCTAGTTCATACGCACAGAGGATGATAATTATGATATTTGTCATGTTTTGGTATCAAAGTTAACAAACGCAACAGACACCTGACTGTATAGTATACTCAACCTGAAAAGTTGACCCACAGTGTAAGGATAAACTCGATAAACAAAATAATATTGATTTTTGTGTTTTATTTTGTGACTGTTGGCGCCTTAGTGAAGTGGTGAAGGAAACTAGAGGAAAGGAGAATTTCCTTATGGGAGATGCTGGGAGGACACGAGGGAAGTTATGTAATTTGTTACTGGCGAAACTAATTTAAAACTTTAGCGTTAGACAGAAAATAGTACAAAAGGAATGGGAGACCTGATATTATTCTGTGAAACACACAAGTCAAGAGATGGAATCATTATTTTGTGTGTTCGACGATTTTACAGACTAATTTCTTAGATGCGCTACACTAAAACAGGTACTATAGATAGGACTAACTAAATAAAAAGAAAAACATATTGAATCATAACGTCGAGCAGTTCGAGAAAAATAGACATGTGAGAACTTTTCAAGCAAATTTACACGTGTGTGTGTGAATTATAAGAGAGAGAGAGAGAGAACTGGTAAGAGCACACCGATCCTCACCCAGACACTATTTGCACTGTACATCACCATTTTTCACTGCTCCTTCATATCCCTGCTCCTATATCATCTTTCACCAATTCTACTTTCTCATCATCTCTCTCACCACACCAGCCCTGTCACTTCACCACCCCAATCACCATCACCTCCCTTATCACCATTTCATCACCATCCCCACCATCCCATCACCCCCCACCTCCCTTATATCACTACCTCATCACCATCACATCTCTTATCAACATCTTCATCTCCTCACCACCACCACCTATCACCATCGCTGTCACCTTAATACCCAAACTCTAAAGACCAACCTTCGTCGCTTCTCCACATATTATCATTAACTCGGATTTTGTTTTGGGGAAGGCACAAGTCCTAACCTAATATCACACGAGATGAGGGACTATAACCTGGCCCTATTATGACCCAACAGTCAGTAAGGATGAGCGCTGCTATTCTCACTCATAGGGACGACACACTACCAGCTTGTAATTTTCCTTCCAGACAAGACAATGTTTCACGGGATTAAATAAAAACCTCGAGTATAAGAGGATCATTAGGTCGTCATATTACGTGTTGAGGCTCACTACACCGCGCCCCTGTGTAGGTGGAGTAGCTACATTATGGTGTAGTGGGCGGGGTAATGGTGTAGTGGGTGGGGTTATGGTGTAGTGGGTGGGGTTATGGTGTAGTGGGTGGGGTTATGGTGTAGTGGGTGGGGTTATGGTGTAGTGGGTGGGGTTATGGTGTGGTGGGTGGGGTTATGGTGCAGTAGGAGTGGTTTATGGTACGGTGGGAGTGGTTATGGTGGAGTAGGAGTGGTTATGGTGCAGTAGGAGGGATTATGGTGTAGTAGGAGTAGTTATGGTGGAGTAGGAGTGGTTATGGTTCAGTAGGAGGGATTATGGTGTAGTAGGAGTAGTTATGGTGGAGTAGGAGTGGTTATGGTGCAGTGTTAGTGGTTATGACGGAGTAGGAGTGGTTCTGGTGGAGTAGAAGTGGTTATGGTGCAGTTGGAGTGGTTATGGTGCAGTTGGAGTGGTTATGGTGCAGTAGGAGGGATTATGGTGTAGTAGGAGTAGTTATGGTGGAGTAGGAGCGGCTTGCGTTATGGGAGTGGTTATGGTGCAGTAGGACGGATTATGGTGTAGTAGGAGAAGTTATGGTTCAGTAGGAGTGGTTATGGTGCAGTTGGAGTGTTGGTGGTGCAGTTGGAGTGGGGTTATGGTGCAGCTGGAGTGGTTGGTGGTGCAGTGTTAGTGGTTATGACGGAGGCAGGAGTGGTTATGGTGCAGTTGGAGTGGTTATGGTGCAGTTGGAGGGTTATGGTGCAGGTTGAGTGGTTATGCGTTAGTGCTGCGATGGAGCAGGAGAGTAGTTATGGTGGAGTAGGAGTGGTTATGGTTCAGTGTTAGTGGTTATGACGGAGTAGGAGTGGTTCTGGTGGAGTAGAAGTGGTTATGGTGCAGTTGGAGTGGTTATGGTGCAGTTGGAGTGGTTATGGTGCAGTGTTAGCGGTTATGACGGAGTAGGAGTGGTTATGGTGCAGTTGGAGTGGTTATGGTGCAGTATTAGCGGTTATGGTGGAGTAGGAGGCTTAATAGGGGAAAGATATCGAATTATTAACATTCTTGGCAGCGTAAAGAGGTTATCATTGTCACTGTGTGTGTGTGTGTGTGTGTGTGTGTGTGTGTGTGTGTGTGAAGCTAATATCACAACACTAAACCTAAGTAAGCTTATGGTACTTCAGCTCAGGTCGACGGGATGTTCGCTGAAGACTTGAACACTGAATCGTGTTGGAAGTCGAGGAAATATCAACCATCTAAGAGAAACTGAAGGTAAATAACATCTCTATAGGGAAATACTGCACCTAACAATCAAAGGTCTAAGTTTGATTGAATACATTCACTTTAAGAATATTTTGACACCTCTTTATCAACATCAGGTAAATAAAAAGAAAAGAAGAATCTTGCAAATGAAATGTGTGGGAACAGGTGTGTATTCTCGTCACCAGAGGGAGGGTAGAGAGGGTACCGCTGTTTTGTGCCTTCAGATTCCATTAATTATCATGGTTACTAAATTGAGGACATATATATATATATATATGTATATATATATATATATATTTATTTATTTATTTTAAGATATCGATGTTATGAATTCTGTATTTTGTCAGAAAACATTTTTTTAAGTGTAAATTTTTTAGCAACTTCCATTATATCCGATAGTTAAAATTGAACTGTCAAGGGTTGATTACATGAAAATTTTAAAGATATTTTGCAAAAGTAATATTATGTATGTGTGTCTTTCAAATCAAATCCTTTTTTTTACCTTGCACTTTAATAAAACCTTGGCATAAACAGGTAGTTGTCTTTTAATCTAATTACTAAGTTCCATTAAGTTGATTCAATCGCTTTTCATGTGACTTGATTAAGAGTAAAATAATTGACTTGACTCTGTATAGTTTGTTGGTAAAAATTTTGAGCCCGCCTGCAGGGTTTCATAAAAATTAATCACCTCGTTTTGAGATACTATATTCAGGTACCACAAAGACCCTAAATAACAACGACCCTAAAACAACAACGATCTTAAAACAACAACGACCCTAAAACAACAACGATCCTAAAACAACAATGACCCTAAAACAAAAACGACCCTAAAACAACAACGATCCCAAAACAACAATGACCCTAAAACAACAACGATCTTAAAACAACACCGACCCTAAAACAACAACGACCCTAAAACAACAACGATCCCAAAACAACAATGACCCTAAAACAACAACGATCTTAAAACAACAACGACCCTAAAACAACGACCCTAAAACAACAACAACGGATCCCAAACAACAGCGATTTTAAACAACAACGACCCTAAACAACAACGATCTTAAAACAACAACGACCCTAAAACAACAACACCCTAAAACAACAACGATCCCAAAAACAACAAACGATCTTAAAACAACAATGACCCTAAACAACAACGACCCCAAAACAACAACGATCCTAAAACAACAATGACCCTAAAACAACAACGGTTCCTAAAACAACAATCCCAAAACAACAGCGATTTTAAAACAACAAATCTGCCCCTAAAACAAATAACGACCCTAAAACAACAACGATCCCAAAACAACAACGATCTTTAAAACAACAATGACCCTAAAACAACAACGACCCTAAAACAACAACGATCCTAAAACAACAACGATCTTAAAACAACAATGACCCTAAAACAACGACTTAAAACAACAACGAATTTAAAACAACAACGACCCTTAAAAACAACAACGATCCCAAAACAACAACGATCTTAAAACAACAATGACCCTAAAACAACAACGACCCTAAAACAAAAAAACGACCCTAAACAGCAACGATCCCAAACAAATAAACGATCTTAAAACAACAACGATTTTAAAACAACGACCCTAAAAACAACAACGATCCCAAAACAACAACAAATGACCCTAAAACAACAATGATCTTAAACAACAACGATCTTAAACAACAACGATCTTAAAACAACAATGACCTTAAAACAACAACGACCCCAAAACAACAACAACCTTAAAACAACAACGATCTTAAACAACAACGACCCTAAAACAAACAACGATCCCAAACAACAAATGACCCTAAAAACAACAACGATCTTAAACAACAACACGACCTAAAACAGCAACGATCCCAAAACAACAACGATCTTAAAACAACAACGACCTAAACAACAACGATCCTAAAACAACAATGCTAAAAAAACGACCTAAAACAACAACGATCCCAAACAACAATGACCTAAAACAACAACGATCTTAAAACAACAACGACCCTAAAACAACAACGACCCTAAAACAACAACGATCCCAAAACAACAGCGATTTTAAAACAACAACCCTAAAACAACAACGATCTTAAAACAACAACGACCCAAAACAACAACGACCCTAAAACAACAACGATCCCAAAACAACAACGATCTTAAAACAACAATGACCTAAAACAACAACGACCTAAAACAACAACGATCCTAAAACAACAATGACCTAAAACAACAACGACCTAAAACAACAACAATCCCAAAACAACAGCGATTTTAAAACAACAACGACCTAAAAACAACAACGACCTAAAACAACAACGATCCCAAAACAACAACGATCTTAAAACAACAATGACCCAAAAACAACAACGACCCTAAAACAACAACGATCCCAAAACAACAACGATCTTAAAACAACAATGCCCTAAAACAACAACGATCTTAAAACAACAACGACCTAAAACAACAACGACCTAAAACAACAACGATCCCAAAACAACAACGATCTTAAAACAACAATGACCCTAAAACAACAACGACCCTAAAACAAAAACG